AGTCAAACATAGGCCTACTGAGTGGGAGTAAGTGAACCTTTAGTAAAGATTAATTTAACTACAATTGCCAAGATCAAGAATAAACTTTACCAGGAAAAACTGAAATAGATCTACAATACTTTAAGTGCATTTAAAATATATTTGCTATACATTTAAACCTGCATTTGAAATACCAGTGCATTAGGAATAAGTGGTATAACAACAAATTCCCAAATATACTGAAAATGCATCAGATGTAATATTTTTCACAGTATTTGAAATGGCCAATATAGTTGTGTATGCATATTTAAACACATACTTTATGTAATTTACATATAGTTTCTTCTCAGTTTACTTAAATTTGGAGAAAGAAATGTTATGAGGGAGCTACTTAAAACCCTAATGAATGTGAGATATCTCTTTTTCTCCTGGGCTTTATAGTTAGTCATTATTTATCATATCATAGCTAATTCTTTACGAGACCAACCCTGTGGCTCCGGCTGCGGCTGAGAGGAGATTTGTGACACGACTGCAAAGCCTCTCCAAACACAGAGAGATTGTAGAATAAAGTGCACTGTAACTGAATCACACACTTCTTCCAAGTACAGTAGTTGTGCGCTGCGCAGCTTCAAAACTGGGCAGAGGGCTCCAGGGCTCTCCTGGGGTCATTCATCAAGGTTGGACGGCGGAGAAATGTGCCTGTTGTTGGTATTAATAGCCTGGGGTGAAATAGGTCTTCTCCGCTGCGGAGACGATCTGGCAACTCGGGTGAGCCCTATCTCACTTTTCTCCACTTTTTCTGTGACTTAAGCTTCATTCTGGGCCTCGTTCTCCTCAAGCTGTTACTGCAGGAGAGGCAGTGAGTGTCATCAGAATATTTGAAAACACGCCCCATCCCCACCCCCCACCCTCTACGTCACTCCATATACTCTTGCTATTGCCCGGTTCAGTAAATCGTATCTCTCTGATAAATTCATGATTGATAAATTATCTTCTCTTTGTAGACAATAAAATTAAAATAATTTGTGGTAATTAAGGCAGTCTTTCCATTTATAAACAAGACGCTTAAACTCAGAAAATGCAATCAGATAGGAAAAAAAATGAAAGGTCAGACTTGTCCCGTAGAAGTCATGTTTACTAGCTCCACAGTTAAAACCTTTCACGTTTTGTTCTTCAATTTCTTGAGGAAAAAGTCTTGTAAAGTTCCCACATATTTTCTTCTCCCGTTTCTCAGACCATCTTAAATCCCACGGAGTCCCTTTTAGACCTTGTAGAAGCCTGGGTTTCTAGATTTCAGCATACAGAAACCTCTGCGTAGGAGTTATACGTGCACAGACGGCACGCTCTTGTTCAGGACCTGCGCCCTCATCAGCTGGACGCTGGTCATGATCTTCTTCTGGTGGCCCATCAGCGTCACCCCGAGCCTCTGGATGTCCCTGCACGATACACACAGAAAGTAGAGATTTAGTGATCCATGATGGCCTTAATGCTGTTTTAGTCTTAAATTTGAGTTTTTTGATGAAACATTTAAAGAGTCAGAACTGTTGTTTGTTTTTGTTGTGTTATCAGCAGTGATGTCAGTTAGATTTGGTTTGATCAGATCATCATCATCCATCTTTACAGCTTTTCAAGTTTATGAAAAGCAGGTAGTTATTGGTTATCATCTCAGCTGAAAATATTCCATACCGTGCATCCTTAATAATTACTTTTTTTTTATCACATTCAGGACAATTAACATTTCCACAGCATTTACTCTATCAGTATAATACATAACACTGTCTACTTTTTGCCTACTATTAGCCATATAACTTAAAGGTGATGACAGGTCAGGTTTTTTCTGCTGCACCCCACATGGCCAACAAAATCTGTTATTTCAGGTTCAAACAGCTTACAGTGTAAATATGGACAGGAAATGATGAGAGAAAGAAAGGGGAATGTGCAACATAAGGCCCCAGCTAAAACTGAAAGGCACATTGCAATCACATTGTTTGCATGCTAGCCACCAGACTACTGGTTCTCAACCTCTCTGCTGTCAACGACCTCCAGATTGATGGATATCAGGCAGCAGATCTGTATTTGATAAGATGTAGCCTGTCTGATGAGATTTAGTTATTCCATAACTGTCTGTACTGGGACTCAAAGGACATAACCCTCCTCTGACAGGCCTTTTAATGTGAAATACATAGCTGCAGGAACTGTTGCTCTTCATTGACAGTAGCTTGACACCAATCAAAATATCAGCAAAGTAAAATCAGTTAGCTTAGAGTAACAGATTGGTGAGTAATCCCAACCCCCACACCCAATTTTCCATCAGAGTCCATCAATAATGAATATTTTCTTAATATATGAATTATTTGAGACTGCCTGTATTTGGATACCAGCTTTTATTTGAGGCACAACTCACAATTTTCTGCAAGAGGATCAAAGTCATTTACTTTCACATTATGGGGGAGCTGTGGTCATGTTGTGTGCGATGATAGCTGTGGCGGATGGACTTGAAGGCAGATTGGAATGACCCCTGGCTCAGATATAAAGGTATGTAGGAGGGTTTATTGTGTTTGTGACTGAGCTCAATTAAAGAAGAACATTCAATGGAGACAGGAGGGGGTGAATAAGGAAGAAAATGAACGGTGCAAAACTGATTTTATCTATTTTTCTGAGATTTACTTGGAGCAGTTTGATAATGATCCAACTCCTCACCCTTCTTCTATTCCTTAAGCTGGTTAAGCCCTACCAGCAGTTATCACTCTCCATTATGGTCAGTACTTACCCTTGGTTCATGCCTATGACGTGTCCCAGAGTGTGGTACCCCCCTGCTGCAAAGTGGTCCTTGTAGCGGCTCATCTTTATGGTGTCCAGCCACTCGTTCACTGAGTTACAGCTACTAAAGTCTGGGATGGCTCTGTCCATCAGCGGAGGACTGTTTAAACTGCGGCCGAGAGAGAGACAGATGGCCATAGATAGGCAGAGATAGAGAGAGGAAGATGAATGGGAAGACGAAAAGATTAGTTGGAGGGAGCCCGAAAACGAGAAAAGAGTCAAAAAGTGAGCAAGAGGCAGTGCCACTGGGGGGAAAAGGTGGGGGGGCTTTGAAATGCGCTAGAAGCTGAGGCAGAAAATCAATAGCAGTTAAAATGATAGAGAAGAGGTGACTGCTGTTGTTGCAGGATGGCTGCTTTGGGTAGATTAATACAGGGAGAAATCCTTAACACTCCTCCTCCTCTTCTCCCTCTTCCTCTACCTACTACTCCTCTCACCTCACGCACACAGTGCCACGCACCACCGACTCCGCAGGACTCTGGGATCTGAACAGAGCAATTTACACGGGTCCAGCTTCAGCCCGGGTGTCCTCTCAAACTGCTCCCAGATCCACCGCGGATCAATGTCAATATCACAGCTAGGCTTTTACTTAACACACAACGCGTCCATCAGAGATGAGCTTATCGGAAAATGAACACGACCGCTCGCTTCATCTGCCAGAGAACTTTGAGGGAAACTTTAGGCTGCAACTTTATCCCACTGTGCTCATATTTGATAGCAGCTGGATGAGATTGGATTTACTCTGCCTCCCACACCAGGACGGTTACTTAGTAGCCTAACAGTCTGTCACCATATATTGTCCAGGAGATCATCCTCTCAGCCCCTCGCAGACGGTGCCTTGCTTTGATTTGCAGCTTAATCCGCTAATCACATGAACCGATATTTGATTAAATGTTGGCGAACTGTCACGCCAAATTAAATCAAAAAGACTCCTCGGCATGTGACACAACGCACCCCTGCGGGGTCGCTGTAAATGTGGATGCATTCAGCGGCCCACCCACCTGCAGAGCGTGTCCATGGACTTCAGGTTCTCCGGGTTGCGGATTAGCTTGTCAAGAACGGTGACTATCTGGCAAAAGCGCGGCCTCTCGTTGCGATCCTTCTGCCAGCAGTCCAGCATGAGAGTGTGTAGAGCAGCAGGGCAGCCCATAGGAGCAGGCAGCCTGTAGCCCTCTTCCACAGATTTGATCACCTGCACATGTACAGCAAAATATGGATGAGACTACAGCGTCTGCTATGAAATTACACTGAAGGTCAATTATGGTCGACAAATAGTGCTCACATCTCTGTTGGTGAGGTTCCAGTATGGTCGCTCTCCGTAGGACATCACCTCCCACATGACCACTCCGTAGCTCCACACGTCACTGGAGGAGGAGAACTTCCTGTAGGCGATGGCCTCCGGGGCGGTCCAGCGGATTGGAATTTTCCCACCCTGGTAGGAACATAAAGACGTTTGACCGGAGTGTGTCAGACTTTCTGAGACAGATTTAGTAGACAGAGATCAATCATGATCACAGTTTCACTATATTCTCAACAAATCCAATGAAAAGAACAAAACCAAGTATTATGTGTGTATTAAAGTCTGATATATCTTCTTCCTCTGTACCCTGTCGCACTGGGTGACATGTTGCTTCATTACAATGAACATACACACTGAAGTTTATTTGGACTCAATCCAACACATACTGTCCTGCTGCCCCCAAATACTCACTAGAGCACCAATTGTGGATTTATCCACAGCAGAAAATAATCCCCAATAAATGCACTATTTCTTCCTGTTTGAGTGTCACTGACAATAAGATGCTTGGTGGTTTTTGTCTTTTCCTGGGATTTGTTGACAATAAGAACGATGTAGAATAATGCTGGCCTTATCCCTTAAATCAAGGTGGGGAACTCCGCAGCCTCAACATTTACCTGAGAGTTAGACTTGAGAAAGGCACTAAGCCCACAACTGTTCACTGTTAACAAGGGATTTAATAACTGTGTAATGTGAAAGGGCTCGCTCATAGTGAGGAACCCACAGAAAATCACCTTACTTCACAGTTAAGTCAGGTGGAGCATTTTTATATATTTTATCTCACTATTTTGGTTTCATGGCCTGGTGATACCACAGTCTAAAAATACCCCAGTACAAGTACAGAAGTATTATCAGCAAAATGTAACAAACAAAAGCAAAAGTACTGCAGAAAGGCTCCAATAATACTGTTATCATGTACATACAGTATGTATTGTGTTATCATAACTGATGCCTTAAACAAACAGTATGTAATTTCTGCCGTTAGGGGGTCTCTCACATCACATCACAATAACAAAACAAGTAGTTTGAGGATGTTGAGATGTATCATGGGATCATGGGAGTTGTTGTCAACCACAGTTGCTGATGAAAATCTCATGTCTCACATGAATTTGTTCATTGGCCACACGTTCGCTGACTTTCTTCCTCACTCTCTGACGTATCCCATATTTACCTGGAAATTATAGCAGCTAGAGGGGGTAAAGGTGATACGACGCCATTGGCAGGCACCAAAATAAAACGCACCGTTCCCACTGTTGGAAACATTTGGGATAATGCAAAAAAATATACTACATTAAAAATTGTAAGTAACACAAACTCAATTTGTTTAATTTAAATAAGAAGATCTTTCTTGAAGTAAAAGCAGGCTTACTAGTGGATTTAAATACTACTAGGTAATTTTGTTTTTCAAACCAGTACAAAATTAAGTTAATGTCACTGAAATTTACTAAAGCTACTTCATTTTTTTTAAATTTACAAAATCAAGTTGGTTTAACTTTTTTCAATGTCATCAATTTTAAGTTAATCAATTTTTGAGGTGAATGAACTTATCCGGTTTTACAGTGATATATTTAATGTGTACAGCATTTAAATGTTACAGCTAGTGAAAGTGGCTAATTAGAACTTTATACACCCAGTAGTTTAATCTGTAACAATCATATTATAAGCTGTTGTCATGTTTTGTGTGTAGAATCTTAATCATATGAGTATCTAGTAACTTACAGTAAATGTTCTGTCGTAAAATGTATTTTTCACTATAATGTAGTAACATAGAAGTAGAAAGTGGTACATATTGGAAATAGCTTGGTAAAGTACTACCTAAAGTTTGTACAACGTACAGTACTTGCCACCACTGAGTAAACGTACATGAAAGCATAAAGCTAAATGACACACTGTGGTTAAATGACTGCACAGAGGCAGTGTGAGCATGTGTTGCAGGCCGAGACGAGAATAGACTTGCAAATGTTAGCAAGTATGTGAACTACTTACATTATTCTTGATATAAAACTGACACTTTAATTAGGTTGACAAATGGATACATCACTTCTTAAACAAACAAAGCACTCCCTGTGGGTTATTTTAAACATTTGAAAGTTACTCTCAAAAAGTAGCCCATTAGACACCTGATGTCCTGCTAAACATTTAACCCAGTGGAATGATCTAACCTTAACTCATGATCTCAGTACTTTTAGGTTCTTCAAAGTGACTTTTCTGTCAGATCCAGCAGAATAGATTTCCAGGCAGCGGCGTGAACGATATTAATCCTCAGCCATTATCTGTCATTAATTCAAGATGTGCTGTAATGATGCTATAGTGTCTGTAATATTATCATCTACATCATCTGAGTGAGGCTGCAGGTAATCACCTTGCTTTCTGTAATGTGATTGCTGTGCTTTAACAGACTGTAACAGACAGATGTGTCGGATGCTGATCTCCATCTGTGTGCTGTGAGCTGATAGCATCAGACTCTGAGCTGCCTTTTTTTTTGTTAAGACTTAATACGCTTGTTCCCATCAGGCTGCAGGTTTAATATTGGGCCGCTCTCTACTGGAACACTTACAAAGATGATTTTACTTTGCTCTCGCTTCCATGTGCCTTTGATTGTGTTTGTATTGCTTTTGTGCAGTTGTGTTTGTCTTGTCTTGCTACTATCTTGGCCAATTTCAGAAGAACTGCCTTCTTCTATAAAGGTTATGTAAGAATAACAGCTACATTTTTACTTGTCAGTTAAATTAAAAAAATATGAAGACATACATTTTCCCAAACGTAATCTGAAGGCTGTAATGACATTCTGGCCAGAGAGAGCTAAACATAGATTTTATATTTTGGTCCATTTTGTTATCTTTTGGAATGCACTTCACTCAATTCAATTCAATTCGATTTTATTTACATTGCGCCAAATCATAACAGAAGGAATCTCAGAACACTTCTCATATAGAGCAGGTCTAAACCGTACTCCTTACAAAATTTGACTTTATTAGACTTTATTGACGTGATCTTAAATGATTGGTGTGGTTTGAGGTTCAAAATATAAAACACTTACTGTTAAAGATGGAACTGTGGTCATTTTATATATATAGTTAACTCATCTTAAGGAGCACTACTCAGTTACATCATGTCTTCGGTGGCTCTGGAGGAGCTTTCTAAAGTCTGAGTAAATGACACCACAGCTGCAACCTTAACGTACGATGTTTTTACTATAAGTGGAGACTTTCATTCACCATCATTCTCTGTGTTTGTGAACATTTTAAATTGTAGTTCAGTCAGACAACTCACATTTGAAATGTTTATTAAAGCAGTATAGCATATTTAGATTTTGCCGTCTAGGCTCCAACCTCAAATACCTTAACCCCCAGTCGGAGCCTACAGGTTTATGCTGGGGTGGTGGTGGGGCTTACAGCGCAGCAGGCAGCAATAGCTTACAGAGTAGCAGCGATGTGATGCAAGGCAACAGCGCATTGGACCAAAAAAATTAAAGGGAGAAGGCTGGGACACTTTTTGCAAGGTAGAATAGAAACCCGCCAAAGAATGAAAAGGTGCGCTTGTTAGTTTTGATTATTGGAAATAAGGCATTCATGATGTCATTGTGTGTTAAAGGCAAGCGCACTCGAGTTGGACTGTTCTGAAAAACTAGTGCTCGGCAGGCTCGCCCCAAATGTTTTTAAAACAACTTGAATTTGCTGCTTCCCTTGACCCAACTTTGAACCATTTCTTTTTCAACAAAATCTTTAACATGCGTGTTGTTGTGTGTTTTGTTGTTGTGTGTTGTGTTGTGGTGTTTGTGTGTTGTTTTGTGTTTAACTGATTTAAATGCTTTTGGCCTTCAATGTGAAACTTTTCACCCCACTGGTTGGTGGTTTTTATTGGCAACGTCGGGTTTTCACTTCCTTCCCCAGTTAAACTCGGGGGACAGGGGCGAAGTTCAGGGACACCTTACACACCAGGTTGCTGTTGACCAGGATGTTGCGGGCAGCCAGGTCTCTGTGGATGTAGCCCAGGTCAGACAGGTAGGTCATGCCGGCCGCGATGCCGCGCAGCAAGCCGACCAGCTGGATGATGGTGAACTGGCCATCGTGTCTCTATGGGAAGAGCAGAAAAGAAAAGGGAAAAGAAAGATCAAGAAGGAGGAGGCGGAGAGAGAGTTTTAAGGGCAGATCGAAAAACGTGATGGTATAGCAGCAGAAAAGATGAGGAGAGTGATAATAGACGAGATTTTAATCAAGATAGAGAAGAGAGTAAAGATAAGAGAATAAAACATGACAGGGATTTGCTTTTAAGTAATAATCTGCAGTATTTTCATATAAGCAAATACTGGAGCTGTTTGACATTGTCGATGTAATACGGTGTTAAATCAACTTATATCTTGTTAAAGAAAACTTTCAGATTTGTTGCTCTGAACCACTGCTGCCATTCTTCCGGCAACAATACTCTGACACACAGGAAGTGATGTCGCTCTGTGGAAACCACGCAAGTTACATTTTCACAAAAGAATTCCGTTCTCTTTGGTGTATCGAGAAAAAATGAACCCAAAACCTTTTGTACATTTTTGGCAGTTGTAGCTTAACAGAGGAGGAAAAGATTACCACTTACTCATTGACAAACTCAAAAAGCATTTCAGCTTATACATAGTATATTTAAAACAATGATATAGGAACAAAGAACTATTTGCTATGTAAAGTTATAATGGAGTTATTGTGTCCCAAGGAGAGAATGATGTCACACTATCGCAGTCTCTCTGTGGGTTGTTTACGTAGACAGTCTGGCCATGCATGCATGCATGTTAGTGCTGAGTCGCTCCATTTCAGACTATGCAGAGCAACTGAAACTGCTGTTTTTCTCATCTTTGTTTGTGAATTAAGGATTTATTTTAACCAAACCAGAGTCGGTGATTGTTTGTAGACAGTAGAAAGACTAACAACGTTTTGTTTCTGTCCACTTTGAATGATGTTATGATATGTGAGGTAAAATTGTTGTTTTTGTCTATGGAGTCTTGTGGCAAGCAAATGCAATATTACAGCTGTTTGTGGTTAAACAAAAGGTCACTCTGCAGGGATCCTTTCCATAATGTTGTCAGACACTTAGAATAACAATCTGAGCCTGTCAGTGGCAACACGCACTTTTAGTGGACATTCTTTGACCGGTGCATTTGTCCCCAGAATTAGCTAACATTATATGGCAGCCAGAGCAGCCCATTTCACAGCTATTTTCTCATCTAACTTTTATTTTGACCAAACCAATGTTGGTAAATATTAGAAAGACTAACAAAGGTCGGTCGAAGTGCCCATTGTTTTGGTCTGAGATGCTGGAGCACTAGTGCGACACCTAGTGGCAAGTGAATTTAATTTATACAACCATTAACACTACAGAAACAATTAGACAAAATGAAAAGCAAACAGGGACCTTTACTGCTTAAATCCCCTTCAAGCAAAAGCTTTTATACTGACCCTGAGGAAGGAGTCCAGAGAGCCGTTCTCCATGTACTCTGTGATGATCATCACTGGTTTGCCTGAGGAAACAAACAGGAACCTTCAGAAGTCTTTCCATGCTGAAGTATATAAGTATATATCTACAGGATGTACACGATGTGTACTCATGTACACGCATGTTCAACACTGGTTAAGTGCCTTGATTGGACTGTTTGAGCGTGTTTTTCCCTTGACTTAAAGGGCTAGTTCACCCAAACCACAAAAACATACAGTATTTTTTTAACGGTACAGAAGAACTGATAAACTGTACAATGAACACAATAGTGTTATAGTTCTAGCAGATTATTTCCTGTGAATATTACAGAGATGAGCTTTCCAGATATTTTTAGGATCTTTTATAACAGTTCTGTCAGTATTATTATTTTTTTTAACAATCATACAATAGGCTTCTTTTTTTGACAAATGCTGACACTTTGCCATTGTTATTTTAGCTCTAATGCTTTTCTAATGCAGGACGAGGCTGTTTATCAGAGTGAAGGCTCTGTGAATAAAGCTTGTGTTCAGGTCTTCAAAGTTTAGATCTTAAATAAACTTTAACTATATCCTGACAGTAGAACATGAGACAGATAATCTGTGAAAAAATGGCAACAATCTACCGGGCCTGAACAAAAACAATTAATCAGAGCCGAGAAAGATAGAAAGACACTTTGGGCTGGTGGCTTGAAGAGAGTTGATTGTTGAGTCTCATTTCAAGCATCAATATTAGACAACCTGGGAATGTGACTCAGCAATCATCCATCTTTCTTGGCTCTGATTGGTTGTCAGGTCATAGTGCCAGTCAGGATATAGTGAAAGTTTCAGCAAATATGACAAAAAGTTATTTTAAAAATAACCCACTACAGCTTTAAAATCAAGAAGGGCTTGTGACCCTCCATTAAGCTTTTGGGGGTCCCAACCCCTAGGTTGGGAGCCACTGATTCACACTACATGTTAAATAATAAAGCAGGGTCTGAGTATGTAGTATGTGCACTAGAAAAGTGATAAAATTGGGTATACTCAAAAGGTCAGTAGAAGGTCATACTAAATTTTTTAATGTGCTGTTGGTGTACATTATTGTCCCAATGCACAACAGATAGAATTAAAAACAAAACAAAAAACAAACATCTTCAGAAAGTCAGTTTTCTATTTCTCTGTGAAGTTTGACGGATGGTGGCATTCTATGGTCACACTTATCATTTCTTCTTAGCATCAAACAGTGAAGTATGTTGATATTTTGTATAACTACAAAAAAACACTATAGTAGAAAAAGTATTACATAATACATGAGTATGTATTATGGAATAGGGACACAGCATGAGACAATGCAATTCAAGGTACTTCCATTAAGCAATTGCAGTAGTACTGTGGTATAAAATAATTCTCAATGCCCCACTAAAAGATGTTTGGAGTAAGTTATCTAAATGATAAATGATGATGATGAATTGTGCCAACTGACTCTTTAAAGTCTTCTGGAAACAATCTTTAATGGTTAGGAGGTGGCGTAATGTAATTATTACCAGTATTACCACCCTAGTACAGACTCTTTTACACTTCCAGTAAAAAAGTCCCATGTGATTTGAGTTACCCCAGAAATGTTATGCTATTTTCATAATCTTATCCTGTCTCCTCATGAGCTTAGAGGTACTCGAGTCCACCTCTAACTATGGGCTCACTTCAGCAAAATGTGACTGAATATCCTAAATTATAAGTCAAAAGAAGTACCCTCAAGTTTTCAAATTTGTGACACCTTTACACACATCTATAGCCTACGTGGCATTACACATTCAGTAGACGAGGCTTTTTACATGTATGTAGCCTAAAAACATTTTTACTCTAAATTATGCACATGCTCATTAACATTCCAGATTTTCAGTTATAACTGTTACTTTGTGGTCAATAATCCTGAAAACGGCTTTACAGTAATATATAGCTTTAGCGGCAGCGTACTCTGGGTTACCACTCCCTCCAGGCGGATGACGTTCGGGTGGTCGAACTGGGCCATGATGGACGCCTCGGCCAGGAAGTCCCTCTTCTGCTTCTCGGTGTATCCTGCCTTCAGCGTTTTCAGGGCCACTGGAATGTCTCTCTTCCCTGGGAGTCTCATACGTCCATAACACACCTCCCCAAACTCCCCTAAACACAGACACGAAAGTGATTCAGCACGGAATACGTTTAACCATCAGTTTTATTCCACCGTATTCAACATTACTGTGCTCAGCTGCACTCTCCACCCCTCTTAAGCCATGGTTATAAGTAAAAACTACAGCTGAATAGGGTAGACATTTACCTCCATGAAACGTATTAGTTTTCTGAAATTTTTTACAATGTTTTTAAGAAACAAAATGTAATATAAATCAGGTTTTAAATGATATATGAATAAACTCCTTCAAAAAATAATAATAGGAATAAAAATATAAGCTTTAAAGTAGAGATTTTTGGCTCAAAGGGTGAAAAAAATGTTGGCTTTTAAAGATGTGTATTGTAAAATTCCATACATTTTGCAAGACACTACAGGTGTTTCGGGTAAAAGTTAAAACATTTTATATTTAAAAATGCAAGTGAGGCATTATCTGATGATGACTTGTGGTGAATTTAGGAGAAATATACGTACATAAATAGACAAAGTAAAGTAAAGTAAACACTTAAATGTGTATTTTGGGCGTTTTATTTCCACTAGTCTGAAAGACAACATGTTATGGAAGTAAAAAAAGCCCAAAATCTCAAAACTGACCAGTGCCTGAGAAAACATGATTTTGCCTGTAGTGTCTGGCCTTAATTTGTGAGGTTAGATAAGAGAAACAAATCCACTTTGTCAATGTATGTGTGTGCAGCACTGGAAGTAAGCTCCATTAGCCTCTTTCTCATTACCTCTTATCATGTGTGATTGCTGTTATTTTGTCTTCCTCACCTTTATACTTTATATTTCTCTGTATGTGTGCGGGAGTCATATCTAGCACGGCGTATTGTAGAGCTGACACAGTGTTAGTATTCCCAGCCTGTCTGAGGAGCTTTGATTGACAGTCCCACGCAACGCTCTGATTCCGCTCTGCCATCCTCCTCTCTGCTGCACACCACAGCCTTTACACTGGCCAATGATTTTAAGTTAGCTCAGCCAATGATTTTCACTGTGTGTGTGTGTGTGAGAGAGCACACACAGGTTCATGGTTTTACCTGAACCAATGATTTTCTCTATTTTGATCCTGGAAGCTTCAATTTCTCGGGCAAACTCGTGGACCGCCTGGCAGGGGTCCTCATATGTGTGCGGGTCGATATAGAACCTCGCGTCGGGGAATGACACTAAGATAAACAACATTAGCATTTGGTCACATATCAGGAGAATGAGAGCAACATCACATCTGAGCCCCTGTCACCGGTGGGTGCAGGGAGGAACTTGATGAAAGCGAAGAAATGATGCAGACAGAGAGAGGGAGAGAATAAACAGCATGCAGGGAAGGAGGCCTGCGTGCTCCTGTAATCACTCGGAGCGAGATGAAAATGTTTCGCTCTAAGGATGAACTTTATCACTGGGGGATGAAAATACGACCTCTTCTCCATCTAATCTATTATTGGTTATAATTAAGGAATGGGCCAAACGTACCGTGGCCGTTCTGGTAATGCATCTTCTCCTCATCAGAGTCCTGGAAAGCTTTGCTGTAGCCACAGTGTCTATACAAACCACACACACACACAAAGGACAAAAACACACACACACCAAACACACACACAGGCGCACACATAAACATACGGCGGGATGAATACAGGACAATAGTGACAGCAACATTTGCCCTTTCAAACTCTAACCACAGTTTATAATTGATAAATCAATAGTTGTTCATAATGAATTATTGACTTCAGCAGAGCTATTCATCACTTAGTTATTTACCAGGAACAACCATTAAACCTGTTCACACTGTTCACCCTGTTAATTAGGTTTTCTACTGGCAACAAGGTAGAGGGGGTCAGTTCAACCACGTCACAAAAAATTACATTTGTGTTGTCCCCCCCAATCTGTTTGTTTGTTTTGGGAGGGTAATTTGGATGAACCAACTCTTCAAATTATTTTAATCATGAGGTTCCCTATATAATAATAATAATAATAATAATAATAATAATAATAATCATGTTTTCAAGTTAAAATGATTAACATCAGTATTCATGTTAAGGGGGCACAATAAACACGTCTCAGGAGGGCATTTAGGAGAATCAGGGCAAATGGATTTAACGCCTCGTTCACACATGCAGATTAAAAAGTTATGTCTCTTTTCCCTAATGAGCCTGTAGCTTTCAGGCGTCTTTAGCACTGGGCAAGCGCTTCACATAATAAGCTCCAATTGGGCAGTTTCTTCCTGAGGTAGTTAATTTGTTGTTGTGTTTAACTTGCTTCCAGAAAAGCTTTTACAGTATCTTTAAAATGTATGAACAGTGACTGACGAGCGACCATGAGTGATCTGCACTGTCATCCTGCAAACGTTCCCTGTACTAGCTTTGTTTGGTATCAGCAGTGAGGGGGAAGCTACTTTGAAACTGTAGCTAGTGAAGCTAAGCTACACTTCAGGGGAAGCATTTAGGCTGTACAAACAGCTTTATGTTGAAAGTTCCAAGCTATACTACAAGCTACTTAAAATGTAGCTTAACACACTGAAGCTGAAGAGAACTGTAGGAAACATAGCTACAGCAACATGCCAAAAGTAACTTTAAAGGTGCTGTAGGTAATTTTTATGACAATATTTTTTTTTCATATTCTACTGAAAATGGGCCTGAACAAAAACATCCAATCAGAGCCAAGATAGAGATAATTAATTGTTAAGTCTCATTCCCAAGGTGTCAAATACTCAACAGCTGCCTATCCCCACGCCTGCAAAATCCAAAGCTTCTTTCTATCTTTTTTTGGCTCTGAATAGTTGTTTTCGTCCAGGCCCGATGGATTCTTGCAAATAGCAAATAGCGATTTTTTTCGCAGATTATCTGTCTCATGTTCTA